GCTTTTTTCTTTTTGCTTATGTGGTGCTGAGGAATCGAACCCAGGGCCTCATGCATGCAAGGCAAACACTCTACCACTGAGCCACCTTCCCAGCCCTGTCATTATATTTTAAAAGATAGTCTCTACCTTAAGATCAGATAAGCATACTCATCTTTCTTTTCCAGATATTTTATTTTATTTTTTAATGATTATGTCTTTAATCTCTGTGAAAGTGATTTGGCTGGGTGATGGGGAGAAGAGTTAATTTCACTTTCTTTGCTGGTGTGGCTAATTGTTCCCAAACTGTCAAGTAATCTTTTCCTACCTGCTAATTTAAAAGTGACCTTTAACTGGGTACTGGTACCTCATACCTTTAATCCTAACTATGCAGGAGGCTCAGAGTGGAGGATCCTAATGTAAAGCCACAGGAAAGTTTGAGAGACTTTTATCTCCAATAAACTACCAAAAAGCGTGAAATGGAGCTGTGACTCAAGTCCAAACTCTGGTACTATCACGCATGCACACACACACACACACACACACACACACACACACACACACACACAAAGTAACCTTCAGCTAAGAATGGTGGGACATAACCTGTAATCCAGAACTCAGGAGGCTCACACCATAAAATGTATGTTTTTGACCAGCTTCAACTACATAATGATAACCTTTCTCAAACAAACAAACAAATAAATAAATGCCAAAACAAAAAAGGGGACTAATCTTTTTAGAATCCTAAATGTATACAGATCCATTTGACTGTTTTTTTAGCCCTTTGTACATGAGTGTGCTTTTCTCAAGAGTAATGCGCATCTGCTAAGGTTACTAACTGCACAACTGATGCTGTTTTAAGGCTGTGCAAGACATTAAAAAAGAATGGGCCAAACCCACACCAGCCCAGAGGGAGGAATTAGAGGCTCTCCAAAAGGAAGACAATCAAACAAAGGTGAGTCAAAAATGGTACCAAGAGATGTTCTTTGGAAGGGAGTTCAAGAAACAGATTAGAATTGAACTATTTCTATAATTTATAAACCTACCCACTACCAAAAGTGAAGCTTGCTTTAAAAGTGAGAATACCTTCATTGATTTTTCTGAATCTAGAATTAATAAAAGGTTATTATTGAAAGATTTTTTAAAAAAATAGTATATTGTGAGTCCTTTGCCAAGTCAATTAATATAGATCCTTCACATCATTTTTAATGACTCCAGAGTATTCACTATTAAGGATGTTATCATTTAACTAGCTGATTTCCTATCATTGTACGTTAGGTTGCTTCTAGCTTTTGCTGCTATAAATCATTTTGGCAGCAAGAGGCATGAGGCCCAGGCCTGTTTCTAGTTTATACTTTCTGTATTCTTGGCACCTACTATAGGAGCTGGTGGAGCTCCCAGAGCACTAAGGCCTCTGTCTTTAAGTGTTATGTTAGGATATGTTTCAAAATGTTCATTGGTAAAGCTTCCAGGAGATGTCTATGGAGCCACACATCTCCTGCTCCCAAGTGACCATGGGCGTCTGGCAGACAAGACATCCAAACAGCAGATACAGCCTCTGATTAATTGGGCTGTCCTTTTTCATTCTTTAGACTTTACCAGTGTTTGCAACACAACACTGGTTTTGAGCAAAATGTAATAACAATTTAGAGGTTCATTCATACTTAGGATGATACAGTAGTTCTTCAAAGAATTAGATCTTTGAAATTTTTATTGACAGGCTGCAGAGAGATATCAAGAAGAGAACGACACCTAGAGCTATGACTTAGTGTCTTCCCCTTGTTATATTGTACCTTAGCTTTGTCCTAGAAATGTTGGGGCTCAATTTCTATGTGTTTGTAAATGTAGGTGTGTATGTATGTGTGTATGTAGAGAGGCTTGACCTTAGGGCTTCTTGATTAGCTTTTTTTGCTCTTGCTTGGCACTCTACCACTTGAGTCACACCTCTAGTCTAGCATTTTGCTGGTTAATTCGAGTGGGGGGTCTCACGGACCAGGCTAGCTTAAAACCACAATCATCTGAGTATCAGCCTTCTCTATAGCTAGGCACCTGGGTTTGTTTATAAATTTTGATAAATACAGATTCCATTTTTTATAGATAGACTAGGGTTGCCACCTTGGGTACCAAAACAGGTAGTGTAGATCACACCCAATCTACATGTATACATGATCTAACTTCTTAATTTAGTAAGAATATTGCTCTCAATTCATTGCCATTTCCAAAGTCTGTCTGACCATTAATGCCCCCAATTCTATAAAGCATTCTAAAAACCTCCTTTTCTTCTGTGTGTTCTATGAGAATGACATCAGCATGTCACCTGAGTTTTTCAGCTGCATCATGTGATCTTTTGCTTCTTCCTACCACCCATTCTGGCAGTTTTTAGAGCTGTCCCGGGATGTCCAGCATTATGGATGCATGCAACTGGATCCTTGTACCTGTGACTCTCCAGAACCCGGCTGTGGGGTGGTTCTTTCTGTCGGTAATAACGCCATCAGCTGCTGCATAACCCTGCCTGACAACCAGACCCAGGAAGTCCTTTTCCAGATGAACAGGGTGAAGTGCTGGCAGGTTACTTTCCTGGTGAGTACCTGATACCTTGCTTTGCCCATGGTTTGAAAATCCTGGTTTTGGATTGACAAGAGTCAGCCAGGGAGAAAAGTTTCCCATTTGATGAGCACTGCTAATGGAGAGTGGTAAATATCACAGGTGCTAAAGCCAGGTGATTGTCCAGTCAGGTTATTGTCCATCCAGAGCAAGAGAGATACTCATCTTCCCACCTTCCAAGAGCTGCTTCCCTATTGCTTTAAGTGAGGTCAGAGTAGTCCCTGTTCATGGTGATCAGGGCTGCCATTGACTGAGTACTTAGTATATACTTTTAGTGCTTCTGAGACCTGTATACTGAAGATTGGCCCTACTGGAGGAGCCCCTGCCTGGGGCTCACATTGCCATCTTCTTTCTTTGTGTGTTTGTGTGCTGGTCCAACATTAGTGTTCTACCACTTGAACCACAGCTCCACTCCCAGCTTTCTTGGTAGTTAATTGGAGAGAGTCAGCTTAGGCTGGCTTCAGATCTCAACCTCCTGAGTAGCAAGGATTACAGATGTGAGGCCACCAGTGCCCAGCAACACAGCCATCTTCTAAGACATCCAGGGGCTCTCACACCAGCTTGTGCTTCTTCCTCCTAAATTGTCTCTCTTGGCAAATGGGACTTCCATCAACTCCCACTGAAGGACATGGGATTGTTTTCAGTTCTCAGCTGTGAGTGTGACTCCTATGAACATTCGTGGTCTGGCTTTTGTCCGAGCACAAGTCTTCACTGCAACAAATGCCCAGGAGTGTAATTGCTGGATCATAAGGCAATTGTAGTTTAGGTTTTTAAGTAATTGCTTAACTTAGCTGGGCATTGGTGGCACATGCCTATAATGTAAGCAACTCAGAGGCTGGGTCCCAGCAGAAAAGCTTACAAGACTCCACTCCAATTAACCCACAAAATACTGGACTGGAGGCCTGGCTTAATTGGTAGAGAATCAGTTCTGAGAAATAAATCTGTGTGAGAGCATGGGGTCTGAGTTCAAGCCCTGCTACTGGCAGAGAAGAAGAGAGGAGATGAGAGGAGAGGAGAGAAGAATGGAGGAGAGGAGAGAGAATGAAGAAAGAAAGGAGAAAAAGAAAAGAAGGAAGGAAGGGAAGGAGAGAAGGAGGGAAGGAGGGAGGGAGGAAGGGAGGGAGGGA